TTTGGACTGTTATTCTGTTGTACATTGTACATTGTATTTGGGACTGTTATTCTGTTGTACATTGTACATTGTACTTGGGACTGTTTTTCTGTTGTACATTGTACTGAGGACTGTTTTTCTGTTGTACATTGTACATTGTACTGAGGACAGTTATTCTGTTGTACATTGTACTGAGGACAATTATTCTGTTGCACATTGTACATTGTACTTGGGACTGTTATTCTGTTGTACATTGTACTTGGGACTGTTATTCTGTTGTACATGTGTGAACCAATTATGATGTTACACTGCTTCGACACATAGTATGCTACAGGAGCAATGAAATGCATCAGCTCAGTATGAAGGAAATCTTAAAATCAATTTTTGTTTTGCCTTCAGAAATTGTTCCTTGATATAATTTCGGGTTTAATGTATTTTACAAATCTATCAAAATCATTTTCATTTATTTTTTTCACCAGAAATATGTGCTGATAAGCCTCAGTGACAAGTCATTAAGTAGGAGACATGAAGTCAGTCAGGAATCTGTTCAATCAATACTTCTGTATAAGGCAGCTCCCCCAACAACCAGTCACAACACTTCATACCTCGTATCTCACAAACCTCTACAGAACTTATAACAGTCATTGTTCACACAACAACATTGTTCACACAACATCATTGTTCACACAACATCATTGTTCACACAACAACCAGTCACAACACTTTATACTTCCTATCTCACAAACCTCTATATAACTTGTAACAGTCACTGTTCACACACTAAGTCACAACACTTTATACCTCCTATCTCACAAACCTCTACATAACTTGTAACAGTCACTGTTAACACACTAACAGTCACAACACTTTATACTTCCTATCTCACAAACCTCTACATAACTTGTAACAGTCCGTCACTGTTTACACACTAACAGTCACAACACTGTATACCTCCTATCTCACAAACCTCTACATAACTTATAACAGTAACTGTTAACACACTAACAGTCACAACACTTTATACCTCCTATCTCACAAACCTCTATATAACTTGTAACAGTCACTGTTAACACACTAAGTCACAACACTTTATACCTCCTAACTCACAAACCTCTACATAACTTGTAACAGTAACTGTTAACACACTAACAGTCACAACACTGTATACCTCCTATCACACAAACCTCTACATAACTTGTAACAGTCACTGTTAACACACTAAGTCACAACACCAAGACATTTTGAATGCTGTAGAGACTTACTAACCCAGTAACTTACCTAAAAGGTTGATGACTCCATCATTGTAACAGGCAAATAGTCGAATGAGGTCTTTAAACAGCAGCAGAAAAGTAGCATTAATTACTCCATTTGTTAATTCATTCTGTGAACACTGAAAAGAGAAACAAAAACATCCCCTGATCTTAGAACAAGTGGTAAATAAGCATTTTTATATTGAAATCATTGTTTATAATTGTATTTCCACTATTTAACGAATCATCAGAGCTGCTGTCAAACAAATACACTAGTAATGTAAATGGTAATTGGTTGCTCATTAAATCCTTTCAATTTTTTGCATTCGATCTATTATAACATCCTCATAAAATATATAGAAAGATGTGGGGTATTTTTTTTTTTAAACTACAAAAATACATGTTAAACTGTTAATAAAACCTGTCATTATTTGGTAAGATGGGAGATTTATTACTATTCAAATTAAAGTAACCAATATTATTTCATAAAACGTCTGCATTTTAGACTCTTTTGTCACGTGTACAAACCACATGCCTATATATCTATATATTTATATGCATGTGGTGATAAACAGCTTTTTACCCGATATAAAATGCTGATATGTATGCCTTTTTTCATCTATAACTGTCACAGTAGGAATTCTTTTATGCATGTGCTGTAACGCACCATTAGAGTCATTTTGCAAATTATAAAGATGTTTTATATTATTATTATTATAAATTATAAAAAATACATTTGTCTGCTCTTAAATACAAGGTCTGTAGTTCATATCCTAACCTATATACTTACATCAAATTCCAACAACCCGTCTAATTGTTTCTGTAAGCATGGTAATGTTTTTAAAAGCTGAAAATAGAAATATACAAATACATACATCAATCTTGTGCTATAGAACATGGAGAGTAGTAGACATAAGTGCCTTTATTACCTAGAATAAAGATGTAGCGTTTGATAAAATCAAATATAGGATACATGTTGTAGCCCCATCGTAAAGACTAAGAATAATTAGTGTTTATTTCAGATTATTATCTTGATAATGGAGTGAAAGAAATTGTTTTGAAAAATGACTCATTTCTTTTTAGGTATTCTGTTAGAGATTTCCCGTATCGTATAAACATTTCACTTTGGTTCATAAATAAAACAAGTCATTTGTCTTGTATTTCTGCAATCAGAAGAGTGAGTCATAGCTTGTTTGCCTGGCTGTATAATCAGCAATATCCAGTCTCCTTTTCATCCCATTATTCATTCCCTCACTCACAAATCATCAATATCATTGATTAACTAACCAAATCAATACAGCTCAAAGCTATCATTCATTAAGTACTTTCTAGTTTCAATTAAGACTGAAAAAGACTAAATATTCTCAAATTGCAGCAGTTTTTAAAGAAATACACTATTTACCTTAGTAAAATAAATCTGTATAATCTGGCAAAAGGGTGTTTACAAGGATATTTCTTTATAACTGGGTGAAAATTAAACCTGTTGATCAAAAATCTGTTCTATTCTAAATCCAAGGTTTGGTCCTAGAGTATCTAAATTAAGATGCGTCTCACTATGTTATCCAAGTAGTATGATTAAACCAGTTGTAGATGGAGGTGGGGGATCTATCAATAACATACCTGTCTAATGAAGAAAACATGTTCGATTAAATTTGCTAATAATATAAGAAAATTTGTGGAATATCTATTCCCCATTTCCAGGAAATATTGAAGCTGTGTAGTCCATTGTTGGGGTTTGGTGTAGACATAGACTATTAATACGTATGTGCATACCCAATTAGTTTAAAATGAATATGTACACTTAATTTGGTTGATATGAAACCATCTTTACAGCAATTGTCCGAATATTACTGAAAGTCAACGAAACAATCAGAATTTGGTGGCCTCAATAATTATGTATAAATATGCATGCATCACATTGGCAGTCAAACTTTACCATTTGGACCAGACATTTTCAACCCAACTTACTTTTTCTGTATTCATGGTTCGTAACAAGCCATCATCCTTCCTGCAAAAATATAATATCTGATCATCAATAACCTACATCATTTAACTATGTACTTAAGATTTCAGCTTATGTCTATGATTAACAGCTGTAAAACAGACTACCAGCCTTTCATGAGTTTGTGCCATACTTCTCACAAATACCTCATTTTTTTCTGTACACATAGTTACATTTTACAGTTAACATCTTGATCAAATCTCATCCCACATACACCTTTAAGCCGTAGCTAACAAAATATTAAAGTGAACATTTGACTGATATAGCCTTAACCCCTTCACCCCAATGTAACTTTAGTAAACTCTACCATGCATTGATCTGGATAAGTCCATTATTGTCAACAGTGGTGAAAGGATTAAGCTTAGCAAAGCTAATAGAAGAGTGAACATTTGTTCTTTGTTAATTATGCAAACATGACGAAAAATGTCCAAGTGACAATCTTATACAATTGATATGGCACAATTTTCATTAAAAGCTATCAGATAAGGACAAAGTGACGCCCCTAACAGCTTGTTTCAACATTTCATTAAGAATGTAATAGGAAGCAGGGATCCCCTGTGTACTAGCGGTCATGATGACCCAGCAGGATTACAGGTTTTCTGAGCCCCATGTTTCCTTGTGAGGTGGAAGTATGGTTACCACTAGTGTGCAGCTCCATTAAAATTCTGCAGTAAGAGTCAAGGACAGTAGGCCTAGTCCACATTACTCAAAAGATTTTTCAATTACCATAAGATTATTGATTCCCTGTAAGTTAAGCCTTTTTCCATTGGTGTTGTACACAGGGAGAGACTGCTCAGCCCCAACCAACAACATTCTCCTTGTAGGTACACTGTACCCAACCCACAACCTCTGTGTACACTGTACCCAACAAACAACCTCTGTATACACTGTACCCAACAAACAACCTCTGTGTACACTGTACCCAACCCACAACCTCTGTGTACACTGTACCCAACCCACAACCTCTGTGTACACTGTACCCGACAAACAACCTTTGTGTACACTGTACCCAACCCACAACCTCTGTGTACACTGTACCCAACAAACAACCTCTGTGTACACTGTACCCATCCCACAACCTCTGTGTACACTGTACCCAACAAACAACCTTTGTGTACACTGTACCCAACCAACAATTTTTGTGTACACTGTACCAAACCAACAACTTCTGTATACACTGTACCCAAAAACAACCTTTGTGTACACTGTACCCAACAAATAACCTGTGTACGCTGTACCCCAAAACAACCTTTGTGTACAATGTGCCAAACCCTCAACCTCTGTGCACACTGTACCCAAAAACAACCTCTGTGTACAATGTGCCAATCCAACAACTTCTGTGTACAATGAACCCAAACAACAACCTCTGTGCACACTGTACCAAACCAACAACTTCTGTGTACACTGTACCAAACCAACAACTTCTGTGTACACCGTACCGAACAAACAACTTCTGAGTACACTGTACCCAAAAACAACCTCTTTGTACAATGTGCCAAACCCACAACATCTGAATACATTGTACCCAACAAACAACCTCTGTATAGATTGTACCCAACAAACAACCTCTGTATACTTCTGTGTATACTGTACCAAACCAACAACTTCTGTGTACACTGTACTAAACCAACAACTTCTGTGTATACTGTACCAAACCAATAACTTCTGTGTATACTGTATCAAACCAACAACTTCTGTGTATACTGTACCCAACAAACAACATCTGTTTACACTGTACCAAACCAACAACTTCTGTGTACACTGTACCCCAAAACAACCTCTGTGTACAATGTGCCAAATCCACAACATCTGTATACATTGTACCCAACAAACAACCTCTGTATACAAAGTACCCAACAAACAACCTCTGTGTACACTGTACCCAACAAACAATCTATGTGTACACTGTACCCAACAAACAATCTCTGTATACATAGTACCCAACAAACAATCTCTGTGTACACTGTACCCAACAAACAACCTCTGTATACACTGTATCAATCCAACAACTTCTGTGTACAATGAACCCAAACAACAACCTCAGTGTACAATGAACCCAAACAATAACCTCAGTGTACAATGAACCCAAACAATAACCTCAGTGTACAATGAACCCAAACAATAACCTCAGTGAACACTGTACCAAACCAACAACTTCTGTGTACAAAGAACCCAAACAACTACCTCAGTGTACAATGAACCCAAACAATAACCTCAGTGAACACGGTACCAAACCAACAACTTCTGTGTACAATGAAACTAAACAACAACCTCAGTGTGCAATGAACCCAACCAACAACCTCAGTGTACAATGAACCCAAACAACAACCTCAGTGTACAATGAACCCAAACAATAACCTCAGTGTACAATGAACCCAAACAATAACCTCAGTGAACACTGTACCAAACCAACAACTTCTGTGTACAAAGAACCCAAACAACTACCTCAGTGTACAATGAACCCAAACAATAACCTCAGTGAACACGGTACCAAACCAACAACTTCTGTGTACAATGAAACTAAACAACAACCTCAGTGTGCAATGAACCCAACCAACAACCTCAGTGTACAATGAACCCAAACAACAACCTCAGTGTACAATGAACCCAAACAACAACCTCAGTGTACAATGAACCCAACCAACAACCTCAGTGTACAATGAACCCAAACAACAACCTCAGTGTACAATGAACCCAAACAACAACCTCAGTGTACAATGAACCCAACCAACAACCTCAGTGTACAATGAACCCAACTAACAACCTCAGTGTACAATGAACCCAAACAACAACCTCAGTGTACAATGAACCCAACCAATAACCTCAGTGTACAATGAACCCAACCAACAACCTCAGTGTACAATGAACCCAACTAACAACCTCAGTGTACAATGAACCCAAACAACAACCTCAGTGTACAATGAACCCAAACAATAACCTCAGTGAACACTGTATTAAACCAACAACTTCTGTGTACAATGAACCCAACCAACAACCTCAGTGTACAATGAACCCAAACAATAACCTCAGTGAACACGGTAGCAAACCAACAACTTCTGTGTACAATGAAACTAAACAACAACCTCAGTGTGCAATGAACCCAACCAACAACCTCAGTGTACAATGAACCCAAAGAATAACCTCAGTGAACACTGTACCAGACCAGCAACAACCGCCTTAGGTTTTTTCCCTATCCATCAACAACCTGAATATATATCGCTGTACATGACCAAAACAGAGCCCATTTATGTACACTGTATCAAACTACACAACCACCAACCAACTCAAGTGTGCAATGCTCACTCTATCATTACTGCAGAGAGAACAAATTCAGCGTTATTTCTACACAGGTTTACCAAGCTCACTCTATCATTACTGCAGAGAGAACAAATTCAGTGTTATTTGTAGACAGGCTTACCAAGCTCACTCTATCATTACTCCAGCGAGAACAAACTCAGCGATATTTGTACACAGGTTTACCAAGCTCACTCTATCATTACTGCAGAGACAACAAATTCAGCGTTATTTGTAGACAGGTTTACCAAGCTCACTCTATCATTTCTCCAGCGAGAACAAACTCAGCGATATTTGTACACAGGTTTACCAAGCTCACTCTATCATTACTGCAGAGAGAACAAATTCAGCGTTATTTGTAGACAGGCTTACCAAGCTCACTCTATCATTACTGCAGAGAGAACAAATTCAGCGTTATTTGTACACCCGTTTACCAAGCTCACTCTATTATTACTGCAGAGAGAACAAACTCAGCGTTATTTGTACACAGGTTTACCAAGCTTACTCAATCATTACTCCAGCAAGAACAATCATAAAATGATTTATCCATTCCTTTTCACACATAAAAACAAGATAACTAGAAAATGCATAGAAAAGGAAAATATAATTCCTGTTGGTATGTATATGGCGTTCTGGTATAGAAACAAGTGTTCCCAAGACCCTGGTTGTATCGACAACCACTTTATGTAATCTATTCTAGACATGCGGCCTTGTTTTTAGTGCATTTATCTACTGTAAGTTCACAGACACACATGGCAATTGTCAAATGCCACAAGAGGACAATATATACCTACCGACCAAATAATCACCGTTAACAAGTCCGTTAGAAAGACGATTTGGTCGATGGTTTAAAGGAAAAACATGATTTACATCCATTTTCATACACTGTACATGGATGACATCTGTGACATTTGACCTCTGATTTTTGGCCAATAATGGATGTTTGTTGCACAATGAATATGATTAAAAGAGCCTGATATAAAATCAAAATGCATGATTAACTAGAATTTTGTTTTTGTGAACAAAAACGTATGTTTCACCTTATCAGCCGATAGACAAACTTTGATATGAAAAAGTTACAAAGGGCCATATCTCTTTATATAGTGGGGCACGAGACCCGAATTTAGAATGCAACACTCCTACTGCCCCAGATGCATTAAAATTATAGCAAGTTTGGTCAACGTAGGTGAAATAACATGGAAGTTATGCTGGGGACAAACTTTGGTATTAAAAATAAACAAAGGGTCATAACTCTGTATATAGTGGGGCACAAAACCTGATTTTAGTGCGAGAGATTGCACCTTCCCAAGATACATAAATATGGAAAGTTTGGTCAACATAGGTGAAATAACATGGAACTTATGCTCTGGACAACATTCGGTATTAAAAATTAACAACGGGCCATAACTCTGTATATAGTGGGGCACGAGACCGAGTTCCAGTGCACTGCACACCTTCTGTGGGGGATGCAGGTATACCTAAAGTTTGATTAAGATATCTTTAATGGCTAAGAAATTATGCCATTGACAAACTTCGGTATTAAAAATAAACAAAGGGCCATAACTAGAATAACCAAAAGCTATAGAAAGTATGTATGGACTATGTAAGTGACATCTTTCAAATCCAAAATCAAGAACATTTTTAATCATAAGCAAAAACACAACAAAATCATAGATATTTTCAAGTTTTATCATTGAACATATGCAGCCTAGAATTTAATGCTTATAATAGTTTTTATGTAGCAGATAACCTGCACGCACACTTCCGGAGTGCGCGATCTTTGGACTTCATTTCCGAAACATGGTATTGTCAGGTGTGTAGGTGATATAACAGAGCGGGCAATATGCAAATGATAAAGGTACCCAAAAGCTCTGATACAACAACAAGCATGCTATGGGAACCATTACCCAGATACTTTAATTTGTCAGGCTCACAGTAATTAAATATACAACAAGTCACTATAACAGACCATAACTGTCATGAGAAACATTAACCCAAGCAAACTTTTTCACATTGAAAATCATGCTGAAGAAATTTCAAGTGAACTTCTAATTTTTTTCATGAATTTCTTTCTCAAACAATCTTCTAATGAAAATGAAAAAGAAAATGCTTAGAACTCTTTTAACTGTGACAACTTACCTCTGTAGTTACATTAATGTATGTGAATGGATTAAAATCTATACTACCATTAATATACGTACCCTCTTCGGACTTTGCAAAAATCAAATGCCATCTGTCTGTAAGAGTATGCTTTCTCATTCAGGTATTTGGAGTAGCGTCTGATAAACGTGGACATATCATAGCCTGAAAAATACAACAGAACATATTTTATAGTTGAACTAATCATTTTAAAATAATATCATCTTCATAGCATATGACTTTGTTTTCTTAAAAAATCACCATTGAAAACAGACTACTGTTTATAAATGAAAGACAACACAGAATAATGTGCAACCATATTTGTTTAAATGAAATTTTCTAACCACATTTTTATAGGTATCCATTTAACATCAACACATCATATATGGTTCAATGAACTTGTTTTGAGAGGACCAAGGTGCTGATGGCAATAATTCTGATGTTCAATGGTTCTTTACATTCAATGAACCTGTTTTGATCAGGAGAGGACACACAGGCTGATGGCATTAATTCTGATGTGCAATGGTTCTTTACATTCAATGAACCTGTTTTGATCAGGAGAGGACACACGTGCTGAAGGCATTAATTCTAATGTTCAATGGTTCTTTACATTCAATGAACCTGTTTTGAGAGGACACACATGCTGACGGCATTAATTCTGATGTTCAATGGTTCTTTACATGATCACTCCCAGCATTATTTGCCTGCGACTGTACACAGAAGTAAGAAGGGATTTTTACTCAATGAATAGA